ATTGTTCAATCCATGGAGGCAATAACTCCTAATCTTTGGGGGAATAGCAAGGAAAGTGTTCCTCCATTTCTCGTCTAGAAACAACTTGATTGCCCTGAAATAGCAAGATGGAGAGAACTCTTCAACTTGAAATAATGAATTAAGTATTTGTATGCATTCCTTCATTTGCTCCTTCTTACGAGCCTTATCAACTCTATCCCTTTCTAAGTCTCTTTGCTTCTCCATTTCTCGAACCTTTGCCCTCTCTAGTTCTATCTCTCTTTCCCTCTATTAGCAAGTTGCTTCTCCATTTCCATTTCTTGCTACTTGTCAAGACCCTGTGAGCTTTCCTTTTCCAAGATTTCAAGCCTCTTCTTGTTGGACTCTAGACCTGTTCATGGGCCAAATAGCCAGACGGCCCGACCCATTGCAAGTCGGGCTTGGTCATAATTTTAGGCCTACAGGCTCGGGCTCAGGCCTAAAGCACCAGGCCCGACTTTTTTCGAGCCAAGTTTGGGCTTTCTCAAAAAAACCATGTCCTGAGTCCGACACGATATTATATATTAAATAATAAAAAATATTTTATTTAATAAAAAATATATACAATATTTTTTCTTTGTTGTTCTCTTTTTTTTTCAAGTAATAGTGAGATGTTTATTATTTTTGAGTTTTGAACGTTTTTAATTATAAATAAAACACTTTTTATTGAATAAAAAAGAAAAAAGTTTTGTTTTCAAATTTCTTGCCAGGCTCATGCTCGGTCCGGCCCATGAACAGGTCTATTGGAATCTTACATTAAGTCCATGTGGAAGACAATGTTTCTTCCCTTTCTTCATGCTAGTGGGTGGTTTACCAACTCTCCTCTTACGATTTGGAATCTCTAATACATCATCATTTGAATCAATAATGTATGGATTGGCAAGAGATTCACCAATTACTGGTGTGCCTAGACCATCTAAGTTCACAACTGGTGGTGAACTATCTGAAGTATGGACATTGTCATCAAGACCCATTTCGAGTGAGTATCCCATGTCCCTGTTTGCTTGTGTTCCACTGTAAATATATTCTAGCTCATCCCAATGACGATAAACTTGTGTCCTAAATGATTGTGTCCAACGATGAGTCTGCATAATAATGAGTTAATTAGGTTTTATACCAATCCTAAATTGAACCAGTCAACCAGATGAGTGGTTTTAAGGTAAGATTACATTAATTAGGATTTGCCATACTTCTTCATTTACGGAAGGATTTTTCGTCAATGGATCTACGGTAACACATGTTTGGTTAAGGAGTATTGAGTACCACTTTCAACGCCGTCTAAGTGCACTATATTTGTTTTTGAACTGGGCATGAACATAACTCTTGTTATGTTTTTGATTAAATTTCTCACAGATATACTTCCACCCTTCGACATTAAAAGATGATGTAGGCATGTTGTTTGCTCTAACTTGATCCACCATTAGATTAATGAAAGTCTCCTCTGCATCGGTCCACTGTACACTATCAGGACCTAGTTTGATTTCTTCACTATCTAACTCTCCTGCCATGGATCTTGAAAAGGCCTATGATTTGGTGGACTGTAAGTTTCTATTTGAGGTTATGCAAAATTGTGGACTTGGGGACAAGTGGTGTAGTTGGATTTTTGGGTTTATCAGTACTTGTCACTACT